CAAGCGACGCTGGGATCATACGCGCTGGAGTTTTTAGAAGGATCATGACTTATTGAGGAACCTCGCGAATGTCCGAGTGTTTGTCAGGCGCCCTATTTTTTTGGTATATAAGCCCGGCAAATCAAGCCAGCGATAGAATAGATATGCAGACAGATTGAAGATATATATAATTGAGTCAAGCGAACAGTAGGCACCGTTAGTAAAGTGTGTGAATCACTGTAATTTATAGCGTGTGATAAAAAAGGTTGTTAAGTTTAAAGTGACTGTGGAAATTCTGTGTATTACAAAAAGTTTGTATCGAGAAAGAATAAACTAGTTTAATCAAGAAGGGACTTGTATCGCTGAAGTTCCTCGGAAGAAATTATACCGGGAATTAACAAATAAGCTGATACGTAACACTATGATATAGGTCCAGCTTATCTCGAGTTTTGCATCTCAGTCCACGAATTAACTTAATCATCTATATATACGATTTTTCAACTGTGTTCTTCTTACATCTCCTGCCCGCTGAGAGTGCGTAACCCTCTGATGGCTCGCCAGCCCTTCAGGCTGGAGTGAAATGCCGAACGAACAAACGATTTCTATTTTGCTAACTTCTGTTCAACCCGTATTTACTGATATTGAGTCTGTCAAGTAAGCATTCATTTTCATAGTGGGGAAAAAAAGGTTACTATACATTGTCTGAAGAATTCTACTCCTCATCAGTAACCCTTTGATAGAGATGATTGTGGCACGCGATGTTTCCCCTTTGATAGAGTTGATTGTGGCACCCGATGTTTCCCCATACTTTTAAAATGTGTCTAGAACCTATGGTATCGAACCTTCCGTCGATAAAGACAATGTAACATCGTCAGCGTGGGCGATGCAATTATGGTAACTTTGATAGTGTTGTGGTTTATTATCTTAATGAGTAAGGTCTCGAAAACCAGAATGTAGAGGATAGGCGAAAGGGGACAAACACCCTTTAGGAGTTCCAGTGCTTTCTGGTTAGGTAAGTGGAGGAAAAGACGAGATTCTCCCTACAATTTAATTTGGACGGATAAACCTGTCAAAATTTGGGGAGTTTGGTTTCCGCCGACACTTCCGTTTGATTATAACTGGCAATCGAGGATCGATCAAATGGAGATATTAATAGATTCGTGGAGAAAACACCCTATTTCTTTTCTGGGCAAAGCCAAATTAATAAAGCAAGTTGTCTACCCTTCATTGAGGTTTCACGAATTTTTCCTCCTAATAGGTCTCATATTGATGCCATCAACAAGAAAGTGTTTTTCCTTCCTGTGGAACGAGAAACCAGACTTAGTGTATAATTTAGGATTAAAGATAAAATATTTTTCGAATAATGAACAGAACCATTTTTTTTTTTTTATGAACCACCCCTTATACTGCACAACTCATTGAGACAGTTGAAACACGAGTGAACCGGGCGTTAATGTCGTTTATTAACAAGAAAACGACTGAAATATACAGCTATCTAGAATTACCTCATATTCTGAAAATTCAGGGTTTCTACCCGACGATGTTTTGAAATCGAGCATGGGTTAATATCACTAACAGGCATATAGAAGCAACGCGCCGTGATTTAAGTTGGAAAATTGCTCATGCAGTAAAATGCTGTTAGATATAGACTGTGTCAATTCGGTTTAACTGGTTCAAACTTACACCAATTCTGCCCATTACCTGAAACTGTGTCACACGCCTTTTACACCTGTTCACGTCTTAAGCAATTGTGGAGATGGACGGCTGGAATATTTCCGTTATCCTTCATCTCTCACTCCATACCGGGTTGTTTAATGCACCATTTCCAGTTACAAAACAGTTGAAATTTTATGTGTCGTTCTTTATAAACGAATTAAAATATGCTATTTGGTCATCCCGCTGCAAAAGACTGTATGATTCCAATATTGAACCAATATATTCAATAATGGAAAAGGTTCGAGCCTCAACACGGGCCCGAATACAAACTTATAAATGTAGATTAAGTGTTGTAGATTTTGAGAAACGGTAGTGCAGTAAAAAATCCCCTCTCTTTGAGTTGTTTGGAGAAGGAATAGATAAAAATTAAGTTTTTAATTATGTGGAAAAAGTTCTTTTTCAAGTTTATTAACTTAAAAGATACATTCATAATTTTTAATTGTATAGTAGTATTTACATTGTTATATATGATTAACGCTCGGCATGGTCAGGTTGTTAGGGCGCTCGACTCGCAATCTGAGGGTTGCGGGTTCGAATCCCCGTCACACCAAACATGCTCGCCCTTTCAGCCGTGGGGGCGTTATAATGTGACGGTCAATCCCACTATTCGTTGGTAAAAGAGTAGTCCAAGAGTTGGCGGTGGGTGTTGATGACCAGCTGCCTTCCCTCTAGTCTTACACTGCTAAATTAGCGCAGATAGCCCTCGTGTAGCTTTGCGCGAAATTCAAAACAAACCATCCTAGAAGCTCTCCTCTGCACCACAAGGAGCTATCCCCCTTTTCGTGTTTTAATATTTCCCACACAAGCCAACCCAGCATCTTTTAGTATGAGCCTAGGATAGTCAACAGGGGGGGGGGGTAATTTAGGGTTATTTCGATAGATCTCGATGAATGAAGTTCGGCACAACTTCTAAGACGAAAAAAACACACCAAATATTAATGAAAATATGACATGATGAAA